ATGTGGTCAGGCAGGGCCAGTGGAATTGTGCTGGCCAGTTGACCAGTCGGAGCCAAGGTCCTCTTGTCTCATTTACCATGCCTGAAGGAAAACTTGACCTAGAGCCTTAAGGTCTCAAGTGGCAAGAGGTCTTAGTCCTAGTATTTGATTCTCACTTGGTTCTGGGCCTGTCTCCCATTCTATGGGATGGAAATAATAACCTTTGCACCCCTCATGTTTCTCCTGTGTGACTGTGAGTGTCACGACAGCGAGGTGGGCTCTCAGATTCCATGTCCAGACCACTTGGAGCCTCCATTCTGTCGGTTCTTGAAAATGTGGCCTAGAGTGGCAGTGTGTCAGGGGATTCCTAACAGCTAAAAGGCAAAACCTAAAGGCAAAAACTAAACTGCCTGTCTCTGCTGTTCCTGCCCCATCTCTACTCCTCCTCCTTCTCTGCACCGCCTTCCTTTCTCCCATATGTCCTTTCTTCCCTTTCTGTTCTGGCTCTTTCTCATACTCTGAGGAGCCAGCTCTGGAAAAGGCTCCACTTTCCCAGGCTTAGTATTTCACCTGGCCCCAAGTTGTGTCCCTCGCCCTGCTTGGGCTACTTCCTACAGGATGTACTCTGCAGTCTCCCAGCCCTTGGACCCTGATGGGACCGTGTTCCGGCTCCGCTTCACAGCCATGGTCTGGTGGGTCATCACTTTCCCCGCGTTCGGCTTCTTCTTCTGCATCATCTGGTCCCTGGTGTTCCACTTTGAGTACACGGTGGCCACTGACTGTGGGGTGAGTGCCAGGCTCCCCAGCCTCTGGGTCAGGGCCAGGTCAGGAGATGGTGTAAGGGGGAATCAGAGAGTAGGAGAGAAGGCCGACGACGGTCAGAGAAAAGGGGAAGGACAAAAGGATGGGGAGAGGCAAGTCAGATTGAGGGAGAGCCTGGGGGAGAAGGCCAGGGAGTATCACAGTATTCTAAGAGTTGAAAGAGGATTACAGAAAAAGCAAGAGTGTGTGAGGGGTTTTGGGAGAAAGAAAGGGGTTGGGAAGGGGCAGAGAGATTGTGAGAGGGAAAAGGAGGCTGAAGAAAGACCAGACTGGAGAGGAAGCTGGTTCCAAAGAGGTAAGATAAGGCCTAGAGCCAGAAGGAACAGGTGGCTTTAGCCTAGACTGGGGAACTCAACTTGGAGGATCTTCAGCTCTGCTCTGAGAATCTCAAGCTTTGTTTCTCCTGTTGGCATTCCCAAGCCCCACAACCTGTGTCCACTCAGGGCTCTGTCCGCCAGAAACCTGCCCCCTAGATCAGTGCATTGGACCTTTCTGAGGGTCCCGGGATACAGGGTCTGTGTTAGAGGCATGGGGTTGAATATAGACTTGCCCTTAGTATCTCATTCCTGCAAAAACGGCACTCTGACTCAGTCATAACTGCAGTGAGTTGGAATTCCTATTGTGATCAAAGGGAGTGCAGAGGCTGTGTGTACTCAGAGAAGGCAATTAACCCAGCATGGCCCTTGGGGAAGTCTTCCTTCCTGGAGGAAGGTGCATTGTTTCTGTGAGATGAAGAAGGGTCTTGTGAATACCAGACTGAGAAATTTGGATTTTATCCAGAGGACAATGGGGAACTTTGAGAATATTTTAAGCAGCAAAGCGACATGATGGTATTTGTACTTTAGAAGATTATTTTGACTTCTGAGTAGAGAACAGATTTGAGGGTAGGTACCAAAATAGGGAGACCAGTGAGGAGTACAATAGCTCCTGCTACTGGGGAGACCAGAGCTAAGGTAAGGGGTACTATGAGGATAGATAGGAGGGGATAGAGTTCAGAGAGAAGTAGCAAGTAGGACTGACAAGTATTGGGTTTTTTGTTCATTTGCAAAGGGGCAGGTTATAAAATAGAGAAGCCATCTGTAATTTGAGGAGACTTTTATCTGAGGCCAAAGGTACGAATCTCTAATGGTGAAATCTGAGATACCATGATAGATTTTTTTGGAACCCACCCTTGATACTCACCCTTGTGAGTTTCTGATCCACTGCCCTGACAGAAATGGGTTATCTACCCATCTCTCACTGCTCCGAGTTCTGGTCTCTTGGGGAGGTTATTGTCACAATTAGTGAGTGGGGAACTTATGTGCTGGGTGTGGAATGGGGCCAAGACTAAATGTACCTGCTTGTGTGTGTGTGTGTGTGTGTGTGTATGTATGTATGTGTCTACATGACGGAAGAGATAATCCCTGCTCTTAGAATCCCACCCCTACCTCTAATCTGAGGGGAGTTTGTAAAGACAAGGCCAGTAGCTACAGGGCTCTAGCTCTCTTCCTCCTGAGGTCTCCCTGCAACTCTGTCTAATCTCTCTCTAATATCTGTACCCATTAGTCAGAGTTCAGAGCTCTTGAATGCTTTAGGCTCTTCTAGTCAAGCTTTAGATACTGGTCCTGTCCCCGTAAAGTAGCTGAGATCAGGAAGGAGTTTTCAGGAAATGAAAGCAAGACTCTCATTAACCCGACTTGGGAACAAAGAAGCAGAAAAATCAACTAAGGACACGGGGAGGTCTCAGATGTGTCTGGTGAAGACATGGCCCCTGCCTCTCACCCATAAGCAGGCCTACCCATTCTTTTTCTTTTTTTGGGAGGTTTTTGCTATAAGGCACGTGCACTCGCCAGAGAGACAGAAAGTGAGAAATCACCCCCAGGGGGGATGCCCACGCCGCAATCCCTTCTCCTCCATTCTCCTCTTGGGATCTTGGGCACGCACACACACGCGCCTGGTGTGAGTTTAAGCCACCGGGTCGGAGACTCGAACCACGATAGACTACATGGGAGTCCAGCAACATAGTCATTACACAACATAGTCATTACACCAACTGCTGGTCCTGGCCTACCCATTCTTTTTTTTTTTTTGGAGAGATTTTCACTATAGGGCACGTGCGCTCGCCTGGCAGACAGAGAGAGACATAGAGACAGAAAGTGAGAAATCACCCCCCCAGGGGGGATGGTCACACCGCAATCCCTTCTCCTCCATTCTCCTGTCGGGATCTTGGGCACGCACGCACACGCGCCCGGCGTGAGTTTTAAGCCACCGGGTCCAGGACACGAACCGCGGTCGACTATGTGGGAGTCCAGCGACATAGCCATTACGCTAACTGCTGGTTCCCCCGGCCTACCCATTCTTAATGCCATGTAGCTCACAGCTACTTTGCAGGATTTTCAGGGAAATTTATCTTCTAAAAGCCATTACTTATTGTGCTCACTGTGTACTAGACACTGCAGGTACTTTGCATACATCATTTTTAGATTTCATGACCACCCTGCAAGGTAGGTGAGGATATGCCTGTTTTACTAATGAAGGAATTGGAGCAAGGTTAAGTGACTTGCTCAGGTAATAAAAGCAAAGCTGGGATGCTTTGTGCAGCTCCATGGTCTCTCTGCTGCCTCTTCACCGATTACTCAGAGTAAAGATCTAAGCCTAGTGTCAAGCTATGGTATCTCAATCCATGGCCTTAAGAGCAGTATCTTCTCACCCAGAGCTCTGCAGTTAGCTTCTTTTAACTGCCGAGGGGAATGTATCTTTTTTTCTTTTTTAAAGATTTATTTTATTTAACTTTATTTATTTATTTACTTATTTTAATTTGACCAGAGAGGGACAGAGCAAGAAAGAAAGAGAAAAAGTGAGAAAGCAAGCTGCCAGGACTGGTCGGCCATGTGGGAGTCCAGCGCCCTTAACCACCTTACCACCTGCCAGCCCCAAGGGAATCCATCTTTTTGTGCGGAGGCTATGAAATCCCTGGCTGGTATTCCTGGAAGCCCACCCTAGCCCTATGAGCTGCCTCCAGCATTGACCATCTTCTCAGTGATCCAGAGACCCTCCAGCATCTCCATTGGAAGAAAGGAAGACTGGTCCTCCACAGTTAGAAAAACTTATCTCTTTGCTGGGTTGCTGGGCTCTGGCATTACCCTGGTCCTCGTTGAAGGCCTAAAAAGAAAATTGTACAAACACTTGGTAGTGGCTGGCAGCTTCCAGTCTTGGAATCTTTTTTTTTTTTTTAAAGGTTTTTTGCCATAGGGCACATGTGCTCGCTGGAGAGAGTCAGAGAGAGACAGTGAGAGAAAATGTGAGAAATCACCCTCCATGGGGAATGACTACATCACAATCCCTTCTTCATTCTCCTCCTGAAATTTTGGGCATGCAGACACACATATGTGGCTTGATTTTCAAGCTGCCAGGTCCGAGACTCAAAACATGATTGGCCGTGGGAGTCCAGCATCTTAACTGTGCCACCTGCTGGTCCCAGTCTTGAAATCTTTTAAAAATCTAGATTCTCTTGTTCCAGACTTGCATTTTCACATGACCCCCTCTTCACATTATTATTTTTTTTTTTAAAGAAGTTTTTGCCTTAGGGCACATGCATGTACTGGAGAGAGAGACAGAGACAGTGAGAAAGAAAGAAATCACCCCCTGGGGGGATGGCTACACCATAGTCCCTTCTCCTCCATTCTTCTGGGATCTTGGGCATGCACACACATGCCCAGAGTGACTTTTTTTTGTTGTTTTTTTTTTAGAGGTTTTTGCTAAAGGGTGCGTGCGCTCGCCAGAGAGACAGAGACAGCAAGAAATCACCCCTCAGGGTGGATGGCCATGCTGCAATCCCTTCTCCTCCATTCTCCTCTTGGGATCTTGGGCACTTACACACACATGCCCGGTGTGAGTTCAGGCCACCTGGTCCGGGTCTCAAACCGCAGTTGACTACATGGTAGTTGAGTGACACAGCCATTACACTAACTGCTGGTCTCCCCAGCGTGATTTTTTTTTTTTTTAGAGGTTTTTGCTATAGGGCGCATGTGCTCGCCAGACAGACAAAGAGAGACAGAGAGACAGAAAGCGAGAAATCACCCCCCCAGGGGGGATGGCCACGCCGCAATCCCTTCTCTTCCATTCTCAGGATTTTGGGCACGCACATATACACGCCCAGCATGAGTTTTAAGTCGCCGGGTCCGGGACTCGAACTACGGTCAACTACGTGGGAGTCCAGCGACATAGCCATTGCGCTAACTGCTGGTCCCCACAGCGTGATTTTTAAGCCACCGGGTCCAGGACTCGAATTGTGGTCAGCCATGTGGGAGTCCAGCTACGTAACCTCTACACCATCTCCTGGTCCCACATTGTATGCATTATTAAAGTTTGCAAAACACTCTCTAAAAGATCTAAAGAAGTCTGAAAGATCTCCTTCCATCCCTGGCTTTCTTATCCCCATCTAAACTACTGTTCATTCATCCCCCGTCCTCACACCTCTCATACAGGCAACATGCCAGTCCTTGCAGCTGTGTATTTTCACCTCCTTCCTCTTCCTTAAGCAATGAGACTCCAATTCTTTCAGGTATGAGAAATTCCAATCACTGGGACCAGCAGTTAGTGTAATGGCTGTGTCGCTGGACTCCCATGTAATCGACTGCAGTTTGAGTCCCGGACCCAGTGGCTTAAACTCAGGCCAGGTGCGTGTGTGTGCATGCTCAAGATTCCGAGAGGAGAATGGAGGAGAAGGGATTGTGGCATGGCCATCCCCCCGGGGGGGGTGATTTCTCACTTTCTGTCTCTCTGTCTTTCTGGCGAGCGCATGCGCTCTATAGCAAAAACTTCTCCAAAAAAAAAAGAAAGAAATTCCAATCACTGAGAAAGACAGGAGAGATGCACAGAACAAGGGTCATTTTTCTTAGACTGCACCAGGTTAGGAGCACCTTTCTTTAAGATGATTGAGTTAGGGGTACCCTTCTGACCCTGCTCCCTGAGTCTCATAAGTACCCTCTACCACCTTGGTGTACCTGCCCAGAGGAATGAATGGTACTGGAAGCCATCAGAACAGCTCAGCTGGTAGTGAATCCAGCCCTGCTTCAAGGAATCTCAGATGGTCTGTGACTCACCCCTCTCCTCTGGACTGAATCTGGGGTTCTGGGCTCCTGGAACTCACATGGGGGTGGAGACCACAGCTCTAAGTCATGGCATGGGCAGCATTAGAACCCATCTATATACCTGCCCAAATGTGCAGGCTCCAGTTTAGGGGGAGAGAAGGTCCTGCCATACCCCTACACAAATCCTAGGCTGTCTAGAGAGTAAGAACCAAGGATATTGGGCCCAGGACGTGGAAGCGTAAGTCTTCTGAGAGCTCAGTGGGCACTTGAAAGAGGACTTCCTAGAAGGGGATGGGCAAGAGCAGACCCTTCTCAGGGCCAGTGATTTTGACAGGAGTGAAAGCTCTCTAGAGTGGGGGCTAGCAGAGGGCGACACCCAGACAGGTCACAACTCTCTAGGTGCCCAATTACCTTCCGTCGGTGAGCTCGGCCATCGGTGGGGAGGTGCCCCAGCGCTATGTGTGGCGCTTCTGCATTGGCCTGCACTCAGCACCGCGATTCTTGGTGGCCTTCGCCTACTGGAACCACTACCTCAGCTGCGCCTCCCCGTGTCCCAGCTACCGCCCTCTCTGCTGCCTCAACTTTGGCCTCAACGTCATCGAGAACCTCGCGCTGCTAGTGCTGACCTACGTCTCCTCCTCTGAGGACTTCAGTGGGTGCCGGGACAAGGGAGGTGTGGGGAAGGGTTTATGGAGGGGATGTGTCCTAGCCCCTTAAATGTGGACCTTCTCGGGGTAGGGAAGTGGCCACTCCCTATAATGCGTGCACCCACCCTCCTCTCGCTCCAGCTGTCCACGAAAATGCTTTCATTGTGTTCATCGCCTCATCCCTCAGCCACATGCTCCTTACCTGCATTCTCTGGCGGCTGACCAAGAAGCACACAGTAAGTCAGGAGGTACGGTCTACCCCTAGTGGGGCTCCAGGAGCCCAGAAGAAACTTAAGGATATCTGTCCTCAGGATGCGGGGAATGGTGAGGTGGGAACTGGCGTTCTCATTGCAACTCTGGCAGAGGGGTGCTAGGAATTGGGGCAAGTGGGGGAAATAACTGATCCATATCAAGTACTGTCTTGGGAAAGTATGGGAGACTGGAGAATGGAGTAGATGCAGGCTGCGGTAGGCTGGACTGGTCTGCAGTAATTCCTGTGCCCCATTCACCGCACGCCTTCTCCCCATGTTTTTGGAGGTGTGGGTGGGTGACTCCATGTAACTTTCATACTCCCTCTTCCCAAAGTGGAATGGGAAGGGATACTGTGCTCCTTGGCCTCGTCCCTCCCCAAACGCAGGATGTGAACATGCTCACCATCCCTGCTGTCCCTGCCTGTGCCCCCTCCTATGACCACTAGTGGGAACCAGGGAGGGGAGGCCCCAGCTTCTACTGGGGCCAAGCCGGGTGGCTGTGCACATACCCACAAGCTGCGGAGTGACCAGACAGCTCATCCCCTAGGATCGCAAGTCCTACAGCTGGAAGCAGCGGCTCTTCATCATCAACTTCATCGCCTTCTTCTCGGCGCTGGCTGTCTACTTTCGACACAACATGTACTGTGAGGCTGGAGGTGAGGCCAGGCTGGGATCCAAGGGGGTCCTAAGTGGCTCTGGGGCACCAAGGTGTTCTCATAATGGGCAGTGGTCATGGGGGCTGGCTGCCGTTTGTTCCCTGTGATAGACTCCTGGTGTGGTGACTTACCAAGTGGCCTCTGAGGGGGAGCAGGAGGTTCACCGTGCCCTGTTCCTTGTGTCCTCACAACAGTGTACACCATCTTTGCCATCCTGGAGTACACTGTTGTCCTAACCAACATGGCATTCCACATGACGGCCTGGTGGGACTTCGGAAACAAGGAGCTGCTCATAGCCTCTCAGCCTGAGGAAAAGCGATTCTAAACCCTTCTCTCCTGCTGAGGTGGTGGCAGCCCACTCCCCAGAACAAGAAACAAGATACCACTCTGGCTTTCTGCACCCCCAGTGTCCTCTCTGGGCCCTACTGAAGCTGAGGGAGGGGAAGACAGGAAGAGCACAGGGTAGAGCTGACCCCAGTGCTGCTGGCTTCTCCTTCTCCCCACTCCTCTTAGGGCCATTGGGGTCTTCAAGCAACATCACCCCTACCGAGGCCCCAAGAAGCAGAGCTGGCAAGACAGCTCCACCATTTGGTGCTAAAAAAGTCTTGAGGTTCATGACCACCATCCGGTTCTTGGCCTTTACATAGCCACCCTTCACTGAGGTCAGGGACCACTGAACAGTGAGTGGCTACTACCTGGAAACCACAACCATTTCTCTTCATGTGTCTCATGACCTGCTGTGTACATCTAGGCCTGTGGCCACAGCACCCTGCTAAGGTTGCCCAGGTATTCTGAGTTCACTCTGATTTGGCATGTACCCACAGCGTGCACCATTCCCTCAGCCCTAGTGTGTCCATGTGTGTGATGGGGTGGACATGCTGTATGATTTCAAAGGGCTCTGCCAGTCTGTAGTTCTGAGGCCATCTGATGGAGTGGTGTTCTGTACCTGAAGGATGACATTTTCTAGAGAAAGCACCAGCACAGCATGCATTTCCCTTCCCTTCTGAAATCTGGCTTATGGACTCTTCTTCCTTTGCAATGTTACGGGTGAAAGGGTCAGATGCACAGATCACTACCCCAAAATGGGCTCCCTGGTATCCCTCCATCTGCCCTACTGCCCAGGCTCTTTTGTGTACATTTATTTCAAAGGAAAATAAATTTCTTTCTTTTTTCTTTTTTTTCTTTTTGCCAACAGTCTTGGAAAGGTTTACTAGTCTTGGGGTTCATTTGAGGTGATGGACTTGGGAAGGCAGGGTGTGACTTGGAGTAGCACTATTTGTACCCCATAGGCCTCAAAGCTGGGATACTTGGAAAGAAGAGGCTTCAGTTGAGGTAGAGGCCTGAATTCCAGCCCCCACACTTGTTGAAGAGCTGTCCCCTTGGGAGAGTAAGGGGCTACCTAATACATGTCTGTGAGACCACCTACCTTCAGGCTGATGGCTCTTGCTTTCAGAGTCTTGGATCAGGAAGTCTTTCTTCAAGCTTGGCATCTCAGTCCACTGCATCTGTGGCTAGGCCCCAGAGCAAGACTGGCCCCACCAAGGGAGTCCAGAGCTTTGTTAGGGAAATTGGGGGGTAGGGGAACCACAATGAAGTCTATTGTCTCCAATCCCCTCTTAGAGAAAACAAAAGGCTCCCAGTCTCTGGGGAGCCCTCATCCATGCCCACCCCCTAATGCCCAGCACAGAGGGAGGAGCCGGGGCCACTGGAGACAGGAGGTTTTATTGATGCTGATGGGGGAAGGAAAGGCCCCCAGGAGCACGGGGGCTGAGTCAGTCAGCGGATGCATAAGGCCTGGGCACATGGGGGCAGATTAGGGCACATGTATCTTCTCAGGATTCTGTGACTCCGTCCTTGGGGAAGGCAGAAAGTGTCTTGGGGACAATTCCAAGAGCAACAGGCCAAAGGTTAGAGATGGCTGGGAGCCCATAACCTGAGAGGAGGCACCATGACAGGCAGCAACAACTCTGTAGAAAGCTGGATGAGCTGGTCAGTAGCGGAAAATGGGGAGGGGACCCTGGGTTGGCCTCTTGGAGAGGGGTCCAACCTCAGCCTGGGTGAGCTCATGAGAATACCTGGTCTTCTCAAGGCCAGTGGGGCAGGGCCCAAAGCCCCTTTCCCTGTGGGCCTTATTAATGAGAAAAAGGCATTCAGGGAGCACCCTGGCAAGGGGTGCCAGAATTAGTCCTTAAGGCACAGCTGGGAGCAGACAAGGCGCCAAGGCACAACTGGTGGGGGGCAGGGGCAGCCTCCAAGCTGAGTGCCAGGGTCACAAGAGGACACAGGACCGCCCACGTTTGATCGGCGTGGGGTTGAGCACAGCCCGGACTGCCTCAGCGAACACTTCCTTGACGCCCTCCTGCTGCAAGGCCGAGCACTCGAGGTAGCGCACAGCATGGATCTGCTTGGCTAGAGCTTGGCCCTGCTGCGGCGTGATGGGTGCCTGGCCCTGCTCCTTGAGGCGCCGCAGGGTTTCAGGCTGGGCTCTCAGGTCCTTCTTGGTGCCCACCAGGAGGATGGGCACATCAGGGCAGTGGTGGCACACCTCTGGATGCCACTTGTGCCGCACGTTCTCGTAGGAGGGTGGACTGGCAATGGAGAAACAGATGACAAAGACATTGGTCTGAGGGTAGGAGAGTGTGCGGAGGCGGTCATACTCCTCCTGGCCCGCAGTGTCCCACAGGTTCAGGTTCACTGTGCGCCCATCCACTGCGCTCTGGGCACTGTAGTTGTCGAACACTGTGGGGATGTACTCCTTGGGGAAGGCATTGGTTGTGTAGCAGATGAGCAGGCACGTCTTGCCCACAGCCCCATCACCCACCACTACACACTTGATGCTCTGCATCGTGGGTACAGCTGCTGCAGTGGAGGCAGGGCCTCCTCCCTCTTCTGGGCCCCTCTGGGTTCAGTGACCTGTGGACAGAGGACAGGGACACTCTTGGTTAGGGAGGCTTCTACGTGTAAGGAAGGATGGGGGCACAAAGGAAACCAGCTCCTTTTCCCTTATTGTGACATCTCCAGATCCCATCAGGACAGACATCAGAGAGACACATATAATTAGAGGCTCTGAGATTTCACAAAGATGCTGCAGAGATGCAACAGAACATGGTGGGAAGCACATGTGCTCTGGTGCCAGACTGATTAAGGTCATATTCTGGTCCTGCTGTCTCTTAGCTCTGTGATCCTGGACAAATTAACCTCTATGCCTCAATTTTCTTATCTACAAAATGGGAATAAAATAAGACCTACTTTATTGCATTGTTCTGAGGATTACCTAATAAGTATTAGCTTATTCTTCTCCAGGCAGTATAGATAGAAGGAGAGTACACAAGTATAGGGAGCTATAGGATCCTTTACTAACTATGGATCCCCCCCACTAAGAAACTGGAGAGGGGCTCTGGAAATGGTGGGAAGCACATGTGCTCTGGTGCCAGACTGATTAAGGTCATATTCTGGTCCTGCTGTCTCTTAGCTCTGTGATCCTGGACAAATTAACCTCTATGCCTCAATTTTCTTATCTACAAAATGGGAATAAAATAAGACCTACTTTATTGCATTGTTCTGAGGATTACCTAATAAGTATTAGCTATTTTTATTCTTCTCCAGGCAGTATAGATAGAAGGAGAGTACACAAGTATAGGGAGCTATAGGATCCTTTACTAACTATGGATCCCCCCCACTAAGAAACTGGAGAGGGGCTCTGGAAGGCAGCAGGGGTAGAAAAATTCCCAACTCAAGGCCTCCCCTGCCCAGTACACCAACATGTCACCTTCTCCAAAACCGACATCCTGGCTACTGAGTGCGAACCAAAAGGTACTGTGAGAAGCCCACTGAGTAAGGAACACTAATCTCAAGACAGCTGCCTTAGCCCAATCTGCAGTTTATGGGGTTAGGGAGAAGGGGACCAGCTTGTTGCCTCATCCTTCCAAGCAAGTAAAACCCTACCTGGCCACCTGCATTCAAGTCAGCAACTCCGTGCAGGTGAATAATGGAGACTGAGCTGGGACTGGGACTTAGACTGGAATCTAGTATACTGTGATGAGTGAGGCAGAGGCTAAGGCTCTCAGACATTAGCATCCTCTCCCAAGGCCCTAGGTGAGGTGGGGTAGATCCTTCAAGCCTCACCAGTAGGGACAAACAGCAAGACGAGCAACTTGATTCCCCCTACCCCATCTTCTGCCCCTTTCCTGAGACCATGGCGTGTGCCTCTGAAGGATTTCAGTGGCTTCCAGACTCTGGAGAACACAGCACCTTTAAAACACCATCACTGAGAAAGCAGATGCTGGAGCCAGATGGGCAGAGATTGTAATCATGGCTCCTCCAACTAGTTATGCAGGATCTTGGCAATATATTTAAGTTCCCTGAGCCTCAATTTTCTCATCTGTGAGATAAGGATAATCTTGCCTGTTGTGTTAAAACTGCTCAGAATATGAAATATATAGAAAGTGATTTAGCATGGGGCATGGCACACAGGAAGTGCCCAATAAACGGACTGCTCTATTTACTAGTGGGGTGAATATGACAGAGTTCCAGCTCCAGCCACCACCCTCTGTAGGTCACAGGGCCCTAGGGTGAGGAACTGCTCTTCTGAGTTCTGGAACAGGACGAAGCTTCCGGAAACCCTGTGATTATTTATACTGCTGTGGCAAGGGTCGTCCTCTCATCGGCTACTTCCTCACAGCCATGAAAGACGCTTACTGGCCAGTATGTGACTTCCTTTCCCTGACTCTATGCCACAACCAGTCCCTGGGAGGCAGCAGCCTTGTTTCAGGTACAACTGAATCCCTGAATATCCCTGATTCCAGTCCAGACCATCACTAACCTATTTTCTCCACTTTCCATAATGCCAGAATGCACCCTGGTCTGGGAACCCCTTACTCCCAAGCCTGACCTGTCCTGAATGGTTCAAATGCCTCAAACCCCAAAGACAGGAGAGGAGGGAAATCCCTGCATTGGAGAGTGGAAAAGAAACTTTGGTGAAGGGGCTGCAAAGGACCAGCTTCCTCCCAGGCCAGTCTCCTCTAGGACAGCTGGGAATGAAATGGTTTCACATCAAGAGATTTCTTCCTCGTTCATGTTAAAAATATTTCAAACTTATTCGCATCAGTTATCAGTGTGTATGTTTAACCTCAGGACATTCACATATAGCCCCTCAGGGAGTGGGTTGGGGAGGGAGACACAGACCCTCAGGAGCACTGGAGGGAGCCTCAGTCTGGAAGCTGAGGGATCCAAGTTCTAGTCCCAGTTTTGCTGACACACTGAAACCACGCATGAGGCACTTACCTTCTGTGGGCCTCAGTTTCCTCATCTAGGAAATGGAGATAAACATGCCCATGACAAGGGAACTAGGTAAGTGAAATATGACTTAAAAAGCCATTGGGGCAGGGCCAGCCAGTGGCACGGCGGTTAAGGCGTGGGATCCCATACGGCCAACTGGATGGTTGGAGTCCTGGACCTGGTGGCTTGAAAATCACACTGGGCACATGTACCCAAAATTCCCAAGAGAATAGAGAAGGGACTGCTGTGTGGCCATCCCCCCTGGGGGATGTTTTCTCTCTTCTCTGTGTCTGGCAAGCACAGGCGCCAATAGCAAAACAAAACAAAAAAGATGCCCAAAGGGCAGATGCCATTATTTGTGTCCACTGAATTATCTGCCAGGCTCTGGCATTTCACAGCAGAATTGCTGGGCCTGTAATGGCCAGTTCCACACAGAGAAGGGAAGTGGGTGTGGCAATAGGGCTGAGAACTCTCCTCCACAAGCCCAGTACTGGGCTGGCCCAGCAGGAAGGCAAGGAGGGAACTCTGGCCAGCAGTCACAAGGCCCAAGAGACTGGAAGTATAGCCAGTTCTCTAGGGAGGTGGTTATCAACCAGCAATCTGTACATCAGCCCTCAAAGGAGGCGGGAGGGAGAGGGCTTCCGGGCTGGCAAGGGAACAGGGACTGACACCGGAAAAGGATCATAAGTGAGGCAGTATCCAGAAACATGCAGGGCAGAGGCAGTGTGGTACAGGGCCTAGAAAAGTGAATACCTGAATCTGACCTCCTGAGTTCATTTGCTGACCTCGTCTCTTGATAAAAAGCCCTCACATGACACGAGGCTTTACAGACTACATGGTGTTAAGTCATTCCATCTCCTAACAACCTAATGGTGTTATTCGTGTCTTACAGATGAGGAGACAGACTCGAGAGCGGTTAAAGTAACCCAGTGTCACACAGCTAGTACAGGAGCCAGACAGAGCCAGTTCTGATCCAAAGTCCTGCATTTTCCTCAGTGTATCATACAGCCTCCAGGTTCTCTCTTACCGGCTGTGTAAACATGAGCACATAGGTCACATCTCTTCTTAGAGCCTCAGTTTCTTCATCTGTGCAACAGGAGTATTAGGACTTGCCCGCCCCATCTCACAGGGCAGCCTGGGGAGTCCTGAGCATGGGCATGAATATGTTCTGTAGACTGAAGTGCTATCCATTGCAGGAGGTGACAGGAACAAAGCCTTTTATCCCAAGAGGCAGAAAGCACAGGACATACATGTGTCTGGGTGGTGGCACCAGCCTGCCCCTCACTACAGAGGTCTGATTTAGTTCTTTATCCTCTCTCCCAAGACAGCTCTTTTCTCTGAAATCCTCTGGCCTGAACTAGGAATATACTCCCATAGCCGTTTTTGTTTTGTTTTGTTTTAGAGAGGTTTTTGCTATAGGGCATGTGCACTCACCAGAAAGACAGAGACAGAGACAGAAAGCGAGAAATCACCCCCCAGGGTGAATGGCCACACCACAATCCTTTCTCCTCCATGCTCCTCTCAGGACCTCGGGCATGTGCACACACACACCCGGCATGAGTTTAAGTCACCGGATCTGGCACTCGAAATGTGGTCTACTACATGGGAGTCCAGTGACATAGTCATTATGCCAACTGCTGGTCCCCCCATAGCTGTTTTTCTTTTTAAGATTTTTTGCTATAGGGCATGTGTACTCACTGGAGAAAGAGAGAGAGAGAGAGAGAGAGAGAGAGAGAGGGGGGGGGGAAAAATTCACCCCCCCAGAGGGGATGAGGGGGGGGGGGGTGAAAGAATTCACCCCCCCAGAGGGGATGGCCATGGACCCTCTAGAGCACTGGAAGGAGCCTCAGTCTGGAAGTTGAAGGACCCAATCCCATCTCTTCCATTCTTAGGATTTGGGGCATTCACACACACCTGTCTAGCATGTTTTTCAGGCTGCCAGATCTGGGACTAGAATCAAGGTGTTGGAACCAGCACCTTAACAACTATGTCACCTGCTGCCCCCTATAGCCCATTTTAAGGAGGGTATATGATAACAGGTAGGATCTAGCTTATAAGTGCTATTAAAAGACAGATGTCAGTGTTGTAGGAGGCCAGACCAGGAGAGTGGCCTGCCTGGGGTTGGGTTCAAATATGACTATTCACTTGATGTGTGTTTTTAAAAAATAATCTTCATTTAGAGACTAAATTTGGTTTTGTAGATCTGTATGCTATTAGCCAAATTACAATGACTTGTTCTGGAGTTTTTAATTCTCATTTTGATTCAGTTCATGCTTGATCTCCCATCTTAGCATTCATGGCTCTTCATAAACCTGTTGGCTTTTATTTTTTTTAAGAGATTTTGCTATAGGGTTTGTGTTCTAGCCAGAGACACAGATAGAGAGAAAGTGAGAAATCACCCCCACCCCCAGGGAGGATGGGCATGCCACAATCCCTTCTCCTAATTCTCCTCTGGGGATTTTGGGCACACGCACATAAGTCCAGCATGAGTTTCAAGCCACTGGGTCTGGGACTCAAACTGAGGTCTGCTGTTTGGAAGTCCAGGGCCTTAACCTTTTTGCCACCTGCTGGTCCTGACCTCCTAGGGTTTTAAAGTAAGTCACACAGACTGGGATTTCTGCCCTTTTTATTTTTAA